TTGTCTGGATTCTTGGTTTCTTTCTCTGTTATTTTAGACATAATGATATTTGGATATTATATTTATTTAGGCTCTTGGCCCTTTTTCTGTTTGTTTGAGATAATGCTACTTTTGTTTGCCTTTTAATTTTATGATCTTTTTAGATAGCCAATTTGTAGATATTTTCTAACTCAATCTGTCAGTCTTTCCTGTTATTTCTTCCGTTGCTTTTATTTTAAAAGAAAAAAGGATTCCCCATCAAAACATCAGGTGATAAGTAGTCACCTTTGTTAGAATTTTTATGGTTTGAATTTTTAAAAATATCTAACTTTTAATAGATCAGGATCTATTGTACTATAAGAAATAGGGAGGAGATCCGTATTTATTTTTCCACTGTAAGTAGACAACCCCTTGGAAATTTGAATATAACACATCTTTTTCTAAATTTTTACCAGGATTAGTATGGCCTTTGGTTTCCCATTACGAACACAATAATGAGATACGTGGATAAAAATTGTTCTTCTTTCCAAATGGATCTGAATTCAATAATGTCAGTTTTATTTAGAGGATTTTTAGATTATCTTAACCAAAGTCAAAGACTAAGGTTTGCAAGGACATGTCAAGATGAGTGTTGGAACACAAGTCTCCCCTTTTCTCTGCCACCCTGCCTCACCAGAGCACATCATCAGAGCTTTTGGGGGACAGGTGGATGGCACAGGGACTTTTCCACCTAACGAGGAGGCACATTGTGATGAGAGAAGACCTGCTGTTCCTGCAGGCTTCTCATCCTGGGTGTGCTCTACTGGAATAAAGGAACAGTGCAAGAAGCCTGGCCAGATGTGTCTGATGAGGTTTTCACCACGAGGAAGCAGCCCAAGTGCAGGATGTGGCAGAGTCCACGGGTCCATGGTAGCTGCCCTTGTCTGCGTGACGTGTGATGGAGATATTTTCCTTCTTGAGTTTAACTCAATGTGATGCCAGCAGGTTGCTCAGAGACAGAGACTTTTTGTTTAATCATCTTAGCAGTGACAACCCTGTCCCACTAGGTGCTGTAATTTCTGCCCTGGCTTCTCGGCTGAGCCTACCTGCAGTTATGACCCAGGCGTCCCCTTCTCGGGCCTTTGCTTTTATTTTGAGAGAAGTCTTTCTGATTCTGCTGCTTAAAATGTCCTTTACTCCTTCAAGTCTTTATCTAGCCAGCATCTTCTGTGTCTTTTACTGAGTGAATAGATTTCAGCTTTTGCTTTTATTAACGCCCCTGAAACTGTGTTCACACTGGCTGTCGCCGTTGGAACATGTGAGAGCAGGCAGGGGACAGAAGCTCTCCAGCAGCTCCCTGTGAGCTGCTTTGCGTTCCCCGTCTGTGCTCATTCCCCTCTGCTGCAGAGCTGGGGGTGGGTGCAAGAGGCCCACCTGCGCGTCTCCAGCATCTCTTATCCAAGAGGAATTAGCTGGTGCTGAGAGAGCCTTCTAATGACATCGTACAGAACTGCATGGGGTTTTGTCTTTCAGGATGTTCTCTGTGCTGCATAACTGCAGTCGTGTTTAATAAAACAAGCTCTCATTTTTAACTATATTAGGAACTACTTTTTCAAGAATGAGTGAATGAAATGTTTTAATAAAAAAAGTATATCAAAACTTGTAAAAGTCACACCAGACGCCGACTTCTCTGGCTTTCGCTCACACCACCCCATCACAGGCCCCACTTCTCGCAATCACAAGGGATGGACGCAGTCACCCAGGTGGACAGTCTCCGCGGCACTTGCTGTTGCCGAGATCTGCTGCACTTCTTGACGTCTGCCCTCCGTCCTCTCCTGGTCATCCCTCACTGCTCACAGCATCGTGCACCCCCCTCCTCCCCTGGGGCAGCAGTGTGCCCACCGAGGTTCTCGCATCTGCCTTTGCAGCAAAGCTCCAGGCCACTGCGTGTCCCAGCCCCTGACACGCTGGGACTTCTCTCCTCCCCTGTCACTGCCCCCCAAGGGGATATCTCTGCCAGTCACCAAGTCAGAGGCTAGCATGGTGCAGCTTCCTCCTTGTCATCCCTGGTAGCTGAGAGGTCACGAGGTCTCAGTCCTCTCTCGTCCCTGCCAGACCTGTCTCTCTCCAGGACTGCAGCAGCAGGTCCCCATCACCCACTCCATCCACCAAGCTGTTTCATTCTGCACGCGACATTTTACCTTCAGACCAGGCTGGTGTCCGTGCTGTGTGAATGTCTCCTTTCCTCTCGTGGTCTCACATGTGACTCCCTGCAGCCTCATGGCTGCAGCTGCACCCCAGCCCACACACCACCAGGGGAGTGTCCCCAGCCACCACCCTGCAGGGCTGCCCCTCTGCCCGCATCCCCCTTACTGAGCACCCAGGAAGCTCCATTTCTCTTGTAAGGTTTGGCTCCTCGTGTGTGAAAACCTCCCTGAACCGTCCTGGCTCCTGCAGCACACAGAGTGTCCCCCTGTGGGCCCTTGCTGCCTCTTTACGGTCTCTGTGCTGGCCCCTCGTGCCCTGGAGAGCAGAGCCCGTTTGGCTCCTCGTGTGTGAAAACCTCCCTGAACCGTCCTGGCTCCTGCAGCACACAGAGTGGCCCCCGGTGGGCCCTTGCTGCCTCTTTACGGTCTCTGTGCTGGCCCCTCCTGCCCTGGAGAGCAGAGCCTCTTTGTCCAGTCCTCACCACCGTTTACCCAGAACCTTTTCATCATATCAAATAGAAACCGTAGCCACTGGACAACAACTCCTCGTCCCCACCTCCATCCGCTGGTGACAACCGTTCCCTCTTCCTGCCTCTGGGAATTCCGTGTTCTGAGCACCTCCTGTAAGGGGGATCGGACAATGGTTGTCCCTCTGTGTCTGGCTTATTTCACATAGCAAATGTCCTCAAGATTCATCCATGTAGCAGAAGGTATCAGGATTTTATTCTTTTTAAGGCTGAATAGTGTTCCAGTGTATGTGTAGATCTCATTTTATTCATTCAGTCATCTGCATGGACACCTGGGCTGCTTGTACCTTCGACCGTTCTGAATGATGCTGCTGTGAACGTGGTGTGCAGGTGTATTTTGAGTCTCTGCGTTCAGTCCTTCTGGACGTGTACCCAGGAGTGGAGTTGCTGGGTCGTGTGGTAATTCTACATCTGACTGTTGGAGGACCCGCCAGACTGTTTTCCGCAGCAGCAGCTGCACATTCTGCATTCGCACCAATAGCGCACACAGGTCCAGTTTCGCCATGTCCTCGCCAACACTGGTGATTTTGTTGTATTATTATTGATGTTGTTGTTGTTGTAGAAACCTCAGGGAAGGACTCCTTAAATAAAACTTTAGAGGTAGATACCACAAGTCCAAAATGTGGATGAATTTAAAAACCTGCTCCAGTAATACGATACTTAACCATATTTGTCACAATGGGACTGTTTGAAGAAGTTTCCTACTGCACTCACATGGGGCCATGTGCAGTCCCTTGGATTCGCCCTGCAAGTACCGGTCCGCTTGGGGAACCTCAGGGTTGTTCTTATTCTCATGTGAATAAGAACAGTGGACCGGTGAATAAGAAAGGTGACCTTTCTTTCTTTCTTCATTTTTTTTTCCCCCTCAAGACTAATTATGTCTATATTCCCAGACAGCTTGGGATAAGGTGAGTGTCAAAAAGAATATGTTGTAATTGGTTATAACACACTAAATTAAAAAAAAAAATAGCCATGGTCCATAGTTATCCTCATGGAGAGAGAGAAGGAATCTTCCTCTTGATTTCCAGTTCCATAAGAAATGCAAAAGTCACTATTTTGTCACCTTAGTGGTTCAGGCAAGGATCATGTATGTGTGCTAACACACAGGTCGTTCCATTCCCATTACCCCACAGGTGACTTTTTAACTTACAAGGGGACATGCAGATCCTCACAATGGAGAGACCGTGACTTGCCACCTTAACCCACCATCAAATTCAGCATCACTGAGAGAGGGTTGTCCCAAGAGCACCTCCTGGCCCAGCACAGTCTGAGGTACAGGCATCCCTGGAAAGCATTTCCACCAAAAATGTTTAGGCTCCATCTTATAAAGCCTCCAGACCTAAGCTCAGTTTACAAGAAATACAGGGTTTAGAGAAAACAGTCGAGCAACAATCAGACAAACCCAGAATGCGCAGCATTCTACAAGAAAACTGGCCTAGACTTAACCAAAAGTCCACAAAAAAGTACAGTGGGGGCATTTCCACCAAAAATGTTTAGGCTCCATCTTATAAAGCCTCCAGACCTAAGCTCAGTTTATAAGAAATACAGGGTTTAGAGAAAACAGTCGAGCAACAATCAGACAAACCCAGAATGCGCAGCATTCTACAAGAAAACTGGCCTGGACTTAACCAAAAGTCCACAAAAAAGTACAGTGGGGAAAAAAAAGCAGGGGACTATTCTCTTTTAGAAGCAAAATGAATAAAGAAATTTAACAATCAATATAATGTGTGACCTTGACTTGATCCAAGGTTGCAAAGAATAGAGCTATAAATGACATGGGGGGCGGGACTGAATACGGCTTGGATCAGACGATATCGTGGAGCAATTGTTAGTTTTCTTACGTGTGATGGTAGCGTTAGTGTAACGTAAGAGATTGTCCTTATTCTTAGGAGAGGCAGACAAATGCACCTAAAGGTAAAGTGTCACCGTGTTATTTCTCTTCCATTTTGGGGGCCTGCTGGTTAGCTCAGTCAGTTAGAGTGTGGTGTTATAACACCAAGGCCAAGGGTTCAGACCCTGTACCAGGCAGTCTCCAAAAAAAAAAGAAACGAAAACCACACATCTCTTTCCAAATCTTTGGTGAAAGAGAGAGAGACAGAAAGTAAATGTATCAAAATGTAAATAGTTGTTAAATCTAGCTGGAGAACTTAGGGTGATCCTTATACTACCCTTTCAAGTTTTGTATATGTTTTAAATTTTTTGTAATAAAAACTTAGGACAAATTAGTTTTATCTCATATTTTATATTCAGTGTTCCTTGGATTTCTTAATTCCTGTCTATTGAACGCCTTTGTTTTTCTGTTTTTCAGTTCGGGACCGAGTCAGGTCGAAGATGGAGAGAGACATTCTGGCAGAAGTGAACCATCCCTTCATTGTAAAGCTTCATTACGGTAAATGGAGAAAAATGACACACTTCTGAGAGGACCTAGGGCAATGCCCCAGATCACAGGAAACTGAAAACAAACAAACCAACCAAAAAATAGACCAAAAAGAAGAAAATCCTCCCTGTGTCACAGAGTCCACTCCTATCTGGGGATGATTCCTTAGTCTCTGTTGTTAATCTGTTTTGTGTTTGTTTTTCCTAAAAGTGCAAGATGCCCTGTTCTAAGCTCACAGACCTAATTTTAGAGGGGCCTATCCATTACTATTAAATTATCACCAATGATCATCTAGTAGAAAGGTCTCTTGACCTAGACTGGGTGAATCTATGGCGTATTTCTGTGTTGTTTTAAAATAAAATGCTTGTGATCCAATAATTTCTTTAAATCAGAAATAATAAAGCCTCCAACATTTCAAGCAAATATTATGTTTCAAGCATTTTAGAGATACAGCTCATCGAACCCTCAAAACTTCCATTCAAAATAGTTATTATTTCCAATTTTTGAGGCTCAGATCAAGCAATTTACCAAAGGCCACATACATATCTACTATGTCTCCCAGCTTCTCTTCGTTTAATTTCAGCCTTTTTATCTCATCAGAGAAGCAATAAATAAAATCTTCACATTTAAAAGATTGAAAAGATGTTGACTCCAGAGTCGTGCACTGATGTTGACCACTCAAATAATTAATATGAGCAGAGCACAGGAAGGACCCACAACAAGACCAGAGCCTCGTCACCTGTTCCAAAGGCTCCAGGAACGCGGTGTTGTGGGACGATTGTTAGTGACGTCTACATGAATCCAAAGCAGAGGCACAAACACACCCCCGCAGGATGGGGTGGAGGAGATGCCTGGCCCTTCGCTGGTCAGTTTCTGACATTACTCAGGAAAAAGTTCAGTCTTGTTTGGAAATTATGCGGCCTATGCTCTCCAAAGTAATGACAGCTCCTCAGTGCCGAGAATTTGCAGAAGCTGCGGCACTCTGTCACCCCCCTTGGCTGTGGCAGCGTGGCTGCGGCCTCCACGTTGTGTGGACGGGTCCAGAGCCTGGTCTCTCTCAGCTGCCTCCACTGTTGCCATTGGCTGGTGTCAAATCTAGTCCTGCATGTCACTTAAATTAGTCCCAGAGTGTTTTCTGGAGATGTTGAGAATGGTGTCTCCCAGAGACTTTGACAGACCCTGGGTGTCACCTCTGCTGGGCCACAGTCTCCACCTGCCCTTCAGCCCGAGGATGGGGCACTCACTTCACACATCAGTCTGCACAGTTCCGACAAGGGGTTCTCGTTAGAGGCTGTGTGTATCTGAAACCCCGACATTTATAAAGTTCTAGCATTTCCTTTTACAAAATAAAAAGTGTTAGAGCATGCAGGGACAGCATCCTTCCCATGTGAACAGACCAGACACCACATGCTGGGTCCTCAAAGCCACTGAACCGCTCTTGGGACAGGGTGATGGCTGCGGGTCTCTCTTGATCCCCATGGGCTTGTTCGCCTCTTGCCAGGTGGTGGAAGGGCTGTGTGTCCTGTCCAGTCCATCCATAATCATAACACACAGCAGCCGGACCTAGGACCTGAGCCCCACAGTCACCTTGTACTACTGGCTGGGCTGACTGGTCACCAACACTGCCATAAAATAAGTGAAATGGCAGGTCTCCTTGTCCTCTGAGCTATAGGAATGCAGTCCTGTAGGAAGAAAAGGAGGCATTCACACACCATCAGAACTACCCTCCTGTCACCCACTAGACACATCACAGCAAGGGTCGGCGTCCCGAGTGAGACCCAGTTGTAACCAAAGCCAACTTTCATAGCGGAGATCGTGAGAGCAAATTTGAATATACAAATACTTTTCTCCCTGTATATCTTTCAATTCCTTTTGTAACTTAAAAAGGAAAGGAAGGAATGAAGGAGGGAAGGAAAAAGAAAAAAAAAATCTCTAGACTCCTAACAAAAGTGAGAGAGAGAGGACATTTTGGTATCAGACCTCCTTCCCCCGGGCTCGCCCTGGCAGGCTGGTCTCCGGCTGGGTTCCAGTTGTGTGTCTGAAATGACTCAGCTTCACAGATTAAACAGTATTTTTTGAGCCAGAGAGAAACTGGGCTTTTGGAACCACAGTGACTGAGTCAGAGTGAACAATGCCCACTGCAGGGAGAGCTCGGCACTGCTGAAACGCTGCACCTGTCTCCCTCTGCAGCCTTTCAGACGGAAGGAAAGCTCTACCTGATCCTGGACTTCCTGCGGGGAGGGGACCTCTTCACCCGACTCTCCAAAGAGGTAAGGCGCCCTGCCCAAGGGGCAGCGCCATGAATTTCTGTCTGGAACTCAGGGGAAGAGGGATTGGAGAAGGGCAATGGTCGTGGAGTGTGTGTGTGGTCTGGAGTGTGTGTGTGGTGTGCTGTGTGTATATGTTAGGTGGCTTTAAAGAAGTCACACAAGTAGCACGAGCAAGAAATGTCATCCTTGAAAGATCTCTGGAGAACCGGCTCCTCCAAAGCCTCCTATAAGCTCTAAAACCACCCACTGCACCCTTCACCGCCCCAGGAAGAGCAGGTGGAGGTCAGAGGTTAGTCTGCAGTATCAGCTAGGAAGACTTTATTTCACAATGTCTCACTCTCCATCCTGGGAAGATGCAGTTGGCGCCGTGTGGACCACACACTGGGGGGTGGACCTGCATGTAGTCTGTGTTCAGGAGCAGCTGCTCAGGGCTTTGCACACTGCCTGAGGTGTCACGACCATCAGCCACATCACAACCCTGAGCTTTATCCTTGACCTCCCACTACTTTAAATAGAAACTTCCCAGAATGCTGCCTAGTGCACTGTGAGAGCTCTGCAGCCCTCGTTGACTTGAAGAGCACAGTGTTTCATGGCATAAGGAAAAACAGTTCTGTCCATGGTGATGCCAGGCTTTTCATTCTGGTGATTCTGTGTGATATTCTTTTATACCGAATGAAGACCCACAAAAGCAGCATGCTGATCCAGTGCACAGTGCAACTTCTGACACTCCTGCGCTGTCCTCCAGCTCAGCGTTTTTCACTTGACTGTGACAGAGGGCTTTGCACTACCCTGTCCCTTTCCTTACCCCTCCCACTTTTTCAGCAGGAGGTCCCTCTGTCTGCAGAAACTCCAAAAGGAACAGCAGATCAAGGCATAGCTGCTGCTTGTGGGCAGCTCTCCCACCGTTTTCTGGCTGTTCCTTGGGCAACGGCGCAATGTGTGTAAGGGGCTCCTTGCAATATAGGGAAGAACACTGTGCTAGGGGAATCTGATTCAAGTTCTACAAAAGCTCCTCTGGAGCCAGCGTCTGCTCCCTCAACCCACCGCCCTGCTTGTGTGCACGTTTCCAGAGATGCAGAGTCTTTGGCACCTGCCAGTTTCTTACGCGACACCTGTTGGTGTGTTCTCTCTCCCTCTCATCTACAGGAAATCAGCCCATTTGGGGTCTGGTTTGGTCCAGTATCTAGTATGACACACTTTGTGGTCGGGTTTCTTGACCAAAAAGGCAGCAGTAATTAGCAAAAAGCAATGTAGCTCTTCACAGTGGGAGTCTGTGTCTCCCCGAGACCCTCAACTTCAGAGTAAAAGTACAGCTGGCAAGCAGGACCGCAGATTCTGGAGCCTGTGGAAAGTACTTTCCTTGTGTTCTGCCATGTGACAAGCATGACACTGTGCCAGGCGCTGTGTTGCCTGCCTGCAAGGAACTTGCATCTGTGAGGAGTGTCACTTCTGTGGAGAAATTACTCGTCATTGCGCTTGGGGACCACACACACATGTGCCCTAAGAACTGGAAAAGTAAAACAGTACGACTACCCCCTGAGCTCTAAACTGTACACACAGCCCTGGTCATCAGCATCGAGATCGGTGAAGTTGGATGAAGCACAAAGTGACTATAAGTGAGCCTGCCGGGTACATTAATCAGTGTAGACAAGAAACGCCCACCCAGGAACACGCCTGCTACGGGAGATGGGACGGGGGTTCTGGAGCACGAGGGGTGGGAGGGTTGGTGGCACCCATCGCTCATGGCCCCGTTTGGAAGTGCCCCTTTTGTGACAGGGAAGCCCCTTCCATGTCAGGCTGACGTCGTGTACATTCTGTCCCCTAACTGCCCTTATTCCAGCTCTGTGCTAACCCAGGTGAGCTTCTCCTCACACGTGCATTTCCACATGTCTGAGAGAGTCGGTGATAATGGGGACTTCTCATCTCTGCGACACTGAGTTCTCGTGGTGAATGTAAAAAATGGTTTGTGAGAATGATAAGGCTTTCTGTGAAGGTGACTACAAAAAAATATGTTCCGATTCTCAGAACCAGGGGCGAGGGATAGGTCAGTTTGACAATAATTTTGAAGTCTGTTGGGCAGTGTGGCAGATTGTAGCAAACCTGAATGAATGTGCTGCCGTCACGTGGACACTTGGGTCATCCCAGTCTGGTCGCTGCATAGCACCAGGCCACCCAGCCGCAGGAGAGCCCAGAATCAGCCGCCCACCCCTGACACCCCGGAGCCCCTCTCCAACCAGCCTCCCCCTGCCTGGGGCCCCCAACCCTGGCCCCACACCAGTGTGTGTTGTGTTGGTAGAAGGAACCCACTTTGGGGACACAGCAGGTTCCTTAGACTAATGGCCAGTTTGCATCAACCCAAGGGGTGAAGACAAAATTGGAGGGAGGAAAAATGGGATGAGACCTGCTTTCACCAGCTCGTCAAGCCTTCGTGGTGTGGCTTAGCTATTTGTATTAAAATTTTATGAACTCAGAGCAGAAGCACTCATGTTAAAGTATAAACCCTGAAATACACCCCAAGGGTAGGGGGAGAGGGGAGAGCTGTGTCTGAGGCCCCTCGTAAGGCTGATGAAGTCAGCCGTGCAGGGAAGCTCTCGCCTCCTTCCACTGATCCTCAAGCTATAAGGAGAGCACACTTTTCCATCCAAAGAGCCAGAAAAGCATTGTTGGGGGAGCCCATGATTTTCCACAGAGCAAAACTGACCCAAGCATGTGCTCTCTCTCTGGGACTGAGTCGGGTCTCTCTGGCAGAGGCGTATACAACAGACCCTCTGCAGCATCGGCTAAGCGGGTCACTCTTCCCCTGCAGGTGATGTTCACTGAGGAGGATGTCAAATTCTACCTGGCTGAGCTCGCCCTGGCTCTGGACCACCTGCACGGCCTGGGCATCATCTACAGAGACCTGAAACCTGAGAAGTAAGTGGGAAGAAGGGGGTCCCAAGCCCCCGGTGCCCCTCTGCTCCGCGTTTCTGGCTGGCTCACGTATCCACAGTTTCATATTTACGTATCAGACATATCAGGAAGTGGGCTGGAAAGTCCTCATGTGGGCACGACCCGGGTGAAAGTTCCAAGTAAAGGGAACAAATGCCCCTTCCCTGCCCCCGCACAGGTGCCCAGACGCAGGTGCAGCCTGGTGCTGATTTGCTCAGGAAGTGCCCAGGACTGAGCTCACCTGTTCTCGTAGGGTCCTCTGACGGGGAAAAGGCCTGGCTCATGTCCCTTACGCACAGGGACGCCTGGGGCCAGGAGGGAGGCAGACCCAGGACTCTGACCCACGTCCTCTGCCCTTCTCTGGTGTGAGACTCATCTGTCTGTTCTGGAGCATCTCAAAAAGTTCTGCCTCCAGCTTGTGTGCCTCCTCTCCAAGTCCCCTCTGCTGTCCTCCAGTTTGTGCGCCTCCTCTCCAAGTCCCCTCTGCTGTCCTCCTGCAGATTTAGGAAGCCCTTTCAACAACCTCCATAAGCCCAAGGAGTATGGTCAATTAACCTCTACTTAGTTAATTGCTTGGCTCGTTTCCAGGTGACAAGTCAGACTAGCTTTCTCAAGAATTTATCTAAAAGACAAAGGCATCAGACTTCCAGGCCCAAAGCCCACTAAGATTTGTATACATTTGGCAATGGCAGTCTGTAATGTTATTATTTCTAGGATATTTTGCTAATCTTCTCTGAATTGAAACATTAAATTCTCTCCAAATAGTAGTGTTCCCATTTCAGAATTTTTTTCTTACATGTTCTATGTAGAGCTGGCATATAAACTGGGAATGATCCATTTAGAAAAGACGAGATTTAGCGGATGGTATTTTAGTTTCAATCAGCTGACTTGAACAGTATCCCCGAGGGGATGTAGCTGATGGTCTCAGTCACTATTTTTACTGCCCTTTGAGGCGAATTAATACCACCCTCCAAGATCAGGGTCTAACCTGCCCCCAGACAAGGTGTCACCTGGTGGTTCTGACCAGCTCTGGGCACAACCCCAAACCCACGGGCTGAGATGGAGGGGTCAACGGCGGGCAGGAAGTGGGTTCCTGCTCATGCCTAACCCCCTCTACTTACACTGAACCAAGGCAGACTCTTGTCTGTAGCCAGACTTACCAGATGTGGCTGCCACTGACGGGAAACATCTGGGTTTTCTCAGAAACCGGGTCACATTGTATGCGCACGTGATGTAAAATGCACTCACCCATGTGCATGCCGCACAGCTCTGACTCACCTACTAGTCTGCAGAGCATCACTCACTGCTCACGTGAGATGAGTGCGGAGCCCTAGGAGGCCCGGTGTTGAGTCGCCCACAGAGAGAACAGCGGCACCTCATTAACTACGACTGACTCCTTCAGAGGACAGGAGCACGGGGCCAGACTTCAGAAGTGGATTCGAGTGACATGCACACTGGTGCTCTGAGCCAGGCATCCTTTTCATCCATTCCCCATCAGGGGAGCCTGGCCTGTCACCTTGGGTCATTGCCAAGGTCATCTCAGAAGTCAATCTCATGTTGTTACCCTCCAGCCTGCACCAGAATGTAATACCTGTGCTCACGTCCCCGATTCCCCCTTCCAGCACATGTGGTTGCTGTGCGGTGCCCATGTGTCCCAGGCTCCCCTGGTGCATCCATCAGGGCAGGAGCACTGGGCCTCACTCTTTTAAAGGTCTAAGTGATCCTTACAGCTAAATATAGTAACATTTAACTGCACGGTTGAAGAATAAGGTTTTGTTGTTCAATTAGAATTAGTAGGGAACTAATCTTGAAAGTTGCGTAATTATGGGCAAAGATCGAATATAACCAAAAAGCAAAGATGAAAACGTTTGCCTCGTTAATTAAAAATTATCATCTTAATTATGTGCTGTAACCTTTTCCATCCCATTTTTATAAAATAATAGATTCTTTGGAATTTCATGGCCAATTTTTAAAATTGTGGTTTTACCATTTTAACCATGTTTAAGTGTGCAGGTCAGTGGAATTAAGCACATTCACAGCACTGTGCAATCAGCACCATCCATCTCCAGAACTTTTCCATCTTGCAGAACTGAAGCTCTGTCCCCACTGAACAGTAACTCCTGTTCCCTTCTCCCTCAGCCACTAGTAATCAGCCTTGTACTTTCTGTCTCTCTGAGTTTTACTCTAGGAACCTCATGTACGTGTATCATAAAACATCTGTCCATGGGGCCGGCCCGGTGGCGCACTGCTACAGTGTGCCACTTGGGAGCGCGGTGGCGCTCCCACCGAGGGTTTGGATCCCACATACAGACCGGTTCCCGCTCACTGGCTGAGCGAGGTGCGGGCGCAGCACCGAGGGTTGCGATCCCGTTGCCGGTCCCGGTCTGGTACGGGTGTGACACTGAGGGTTGCGATCCGTTGCCGGACACGAAAAAAAAGACAAAAAGGAAAAAAAAAATCTGTCCTTTGTGACTGGTTTATTTCATATAGCATAACATCTTCAAGGTTCATCCATGCTGCAGCGTGTCAGAGGTTTTTAAAGGTATTTTTAAAGCCTTGCTTTTGTTTCTCTCCAGCCCACTTCCTGGTCTCTTTAGGGTGAGGCTGCTACCTTCCAGGATCTGGTTGGAAAAGAATTTAATTACAGCCAAAATAAGTAAACAGGGAAGGTTAGAAGCCACAGGGTCTCAAGGTATTACAGCCCCAGACAGCAGCCTGGGGTTCAGGGAACTGCACCCACCCCCCACATACCCCGCCTCTGTTCTCTAGTGAGGAGCAGGCTCCACCCATGGCAGGGCAGCTGGGAAGAGTGAAGCTAGCTCTGAGGTCTGATGGGGGCTGATGTCACACACGCCTGCTGAGGGCTGGTGGGGAACGAGACAGAGACCCGGTGCCATGCCAAGGCCAGGTCTTATCCTAAGATACGATAAGCCTGGGAGGCTCAGGGAGAGAATCTGGGAGAGGAGAAGAGGGTCCCTGAGCATTGAAGGACTCCTGGAAAGAAAAATTCCTTGTCAGAGCCTCCAGATCTCCATGGCAGGACAGTCTGGAGGGTTCCCAAACCTTCTTGGGGACTCAAGAAGGTCTAAAGTTGGCAGTCCCCCAGGGTAAAAAAATACAGGTGCCCCTCTGCTCCCAGATGCATGGGTCTGAATGCTCTCCTGACCTGACAAATGCTGTACAATAGAGAGCAGTAATCTGAAACCCACCCTCACCACAGCAGACAACTCCTGGGCCAGGCTCTGCTCATGGTCGTGAAGACATCTGCCCCGAGCTGTCCCCAGGGCTTCCCTCTGAGCTGCACGTGCCAGTCTGTGGGCTGGGTCTCCTTCTAAACCTCTCTTTTTCCCCTTTCTTTCAGCATCCTCCTGGATGAAGAGGGACATATCAAGATCACAGGTTTGTAAAAGACAGCCTCCCTCGATGGCTGCATCTCAGCCCTGGTGAATTTGGGGACCAGCCCTCCTGTCATACTCACATTTGCCAGACCTGTGTCTCTGATGGAAGCCTAGGTGTCCCTTGTGTCCTCCTCCCTGCTGCTCTTTGTCTTCCCACATAGCCACCAGCCCAAGCCTCCTTTCCAGTCCTTTCCCTCAGAGGGAAGCAGCCTGATCCTGTCCTATCCGAGCAGCCCCAGGTGCCTCTCCAGTCCCCAGTCCCAGTGACCTGCAGCGTGAGCTGAGGGAAGAGGGACTCCTGGGGACTTCACATGCATTACTGAGAAATACCGTCTCCCGTTAATGTCACAGGGCACGCCTGAACTTGTAGGTTCATAAGGAGTCCGCACACTTGTGGATTCTGACTTGGGAACTCGCCAGGCTTTGGAGGTGTGCACGGATGTAACGCGCTGGCATCTGAGCCGGGCTCTGTTCCCCCAACTGCACAGAGACTGAGGGGTGCTGTCTGCTGTGTTTGCATTTAGATTTCGGCCTGAGTAAGGAAGCCATCGACCATGACAAGAGAGCGTATTCGTTCTGCGGGACGATAGAGTACATGGCGCCTGAGGTGGTGAACCGGCGGGGACACACGCAGAGTGCCGACTGGTGGTCCTTTGGCGTGCTCATGGTAATGTCCGTCCTCGGGGGCTGCAGCCCATGTCATGTGGCTGGGGACAAGGAGCAGGCAGTGAGTTTCTGAGCTGAGCATCTCCGGGCAGCCTCCCACCCCTCCCAGATTCACACTGTCGGAAAATGGAACTGGGATTCAAATAAGAATGCAAATCTATCAAGGGCCAAGCCTTTGTTACAGCTAAGGCTCTCATGGGTTTAGCACAAGGATTTTAAGGGATGCAGCGATTTCCATATTAAAGATATTTTTCTTATTTCAAAGACAAAGTGCTTCCACTTAGTTGTAAAAATTAGAATGAACCAAAATATACAGAGTTGAACATTGTTACATGTACACCTAGTAAGCTAGATTTTTCCTTTACATCATTTTTTCACAGACATATAATCAAACGCTGTCTGGGGTTTTCCACGGTCATAATAGAAATGCTGTGGTTTTCCACGGTCACAATAGAAACGCTGTGGTTTTCCACGGTCACAATAGAAACGCTGTGGTTTTCCACGGTCACAATAGAAATGCTGTGGTTTCCCACGGTCATAATAGAAATGCTGTGGCTCCCTTTTCCCAATCCCCAAATGACCCTGCCTTTCCTCCTTTTTCCCTCCCCCTGCTCCCAGCAGGGCAGGGGCTTCTGGCCCTCTGTACTCACTTGCCCTCTGTGTGGGCCACACTGTGATGCTCCAGAATCTGACACTGGACGCTAGTAGGTTGTGGCATTTCAGGGTTGACCAGCCTTCCAGCCTGTGCATGTGACACAGGGGGAAACGAGTCCACCAGAGTTTTAGTCAAGGTGATGAAGGTCACTCAGCCAGCCCCAGGCACAGCCACGTATGTGTGAAACCTGGTTCCCTTCAGAGACCAGGTTGCCTCTCTTCCCCCACCCCACACACCTCACTCCCTGTTGTCACACACAGAGCTGAGTCCTGTGGACCTCAAGTCAGAGGTGCCACCTAGGGACCTAGGGCTGGTGCTCTGAGGCCTTGCTGGGGGCATTGGTCACTTTGGTCATTGTACTGCTCTCTGGATTCTGGTGCTGGCTGTGTTGCTGGATCAGCACAGACTGCTGAACTCTTTGAGGCAGACAGACATTAGCCAGCTCAGGGACGGATTTATGCAGCTTAACCTGGAATGCCAATTGACAGTAAGAGACATCCATGCGACCATAGCAGTGCTCCTGCTTGTGGGACCAGCGCTTCTCTGTCTGTCAGCAACCTGCAAGCTAAGTGAATTAAACAAATGATCACGTGCAGAGTGCTTGAGATGCTGCGGCATGACAGGGGGTTTGTAAATGTTAGCCAGGAGGGTGGTGAGGATGTCTTATTGTGTCACGATTAGTCAGGCCTCTGAGGACACCAGCTAAGATGCAGTTCATTTCCCTGCTGAGGACCCCCTGCCTCTCAGACTTTGCCCCTCTGTTTGTCTTCAGATTGAAAGGGTCTTTCGTTAGATGTGTGGATGAGACAGTGAGGTTCCCTTGCTCTACTCAAGGTGATTTTTGCTGAGATAGCTCCACTCCCTTCCAAATAGGTTGGTTTCCTTTGTGGCCTGAGCGGTGGGCATTTGATGGGGTAGGGGTGTGTGCTGTGCTGTGGCCCCCCTGCCCCTGCTGCGGACTTCACTGTGAAGTCTGAGGTTGCCTTTGCTGACACCAGGCTGTAGGTCCAAGGTCATAGTCTGCCACTGCAGGAATGATTCCAGTTCCCACATCTGCCCTCCTGGGGATCCACATTCCTCTACGGAGCCGGGCTGGCCACGCCATGAGTCCAGACTCCCTGGAAGGACTCCGGCTTTGTCCTGTTCCTGGACCCTGTCCTCCCCCCCCGGGTGGTCCCCAGCCCTTGAAGAAGATGACAGGGCATACGAGTCTGGGCTTGTGAATGGTCCCCACGGCAGTGCCGCAGGTGAGCCTTTGCTGAGCACAGTCAAAAAGTGCTGCTGTTCATCTCTCGGTGCAGCTGACAGGGAGAGGAACAAGACGCCAACCTGGGATGGGAGAGGATGCCCTAGCAGATAAACCCACAGCCACACACCACATATGAGTCACAACCAACTCGCATAGATTTGTGAGGCTCGGGGAGTGGGGCGGAGGAAAGGGGATTTGATATTCACCACGGACCATAAAATCTATGCCGTAATACAAAATATATCTTTTAAATGTCTTCTGGCCTAAATCATTACAAACTAAAGAAATATACAGAGAAGCCAAAAGAGAAGAAAAAGAACAGCAAAGACATATAAAAGGAAAGATTGAAAGACCCAGAGAAGGAGACTCGTGTGGACGAGGAGGCGGGGCCGCCTGCTTTGAGCTGGTCTCCATCACGCTCCGCCCGGGTTTTCTGCACGGCTCATCAGCCCCAAGGGAGAACCAGACATCCAAGACCCTCTTTAACTCTCCCGGCCAGAGGCGGTGCTCCGCTTTTGCGTCTTTGGCTCTTGCACCAACTTGCTGTCCTAGCATCTGTTGTAACCACGTTACCCTCACCCAGGCTGTCCCCAGCACAGAGAGCAGCAACTGTGCCCAAGAAGTCTGCTCCCCAATGGACCAGCGTGGGGTGAAACACCCCTACCCAGATCCAGGGGCCTGGTGGCCTTCATCCACTCTGTGGTCCCCTCTATCCTGTCATTGCTGCTACAGGCACGTCCCTGCAGTTTGGAGAGGTTGGCTCCCAGCTGCTTCTGAAGGAGCTTTGCCCCACCACTGCTGGCGTCGTTGAACACACCGGGAATTGTCCACCAGTTTCTCACTGGGCACCAGATGTTTCTTACTGAATTGCTCACGTGTTTGATGGAATCGTCTGGTCAGTGTCCCGTAACAGCTGGGGCCACACCAGCCCCAGATCTGTCATCTTACTCAGCAGTGTCAAGCAGGAGTGGGCATTGCGATGATGACAAGTTAGGTCTGCATGGCACGCCAGGGTTTATACCTTTGCTCTGAACCAGAATGCCTCTGCGTTAGGCAGGCGGGATAGCGTTCTTTCTGTGAACAAAAATGAAAACTAAGGCTCACACAACTGTTCCAAAAACACAGTGCATTCAGCCCTGAACCCAGAGGTCTTGACGATGGCAACCTCATGCTTTCAGCTCTTCCTTGGGCAATGTCAGAAGTTACTTCCAGCTTCTCACTTGCAATTAAGAGATGGGTCCGGTGTGACCAGGTCTCTCGTTACATAGGAAAGAACCACGAGGTGGAGGAAGAGGGAAGGGGGAGAGAAGCACCACGTGGACCTGAGCACTGGAGCCATGTTCAAAAGCTAGCAAGAGATCACGAGGCAGATGTAGGCAGCATACTGGCAATCGGTGATCAATAGTTCCATGACACACAGGCATCAGGTGGCACTGTGCGTGGCACGGGCCAAGTGGTGATCCTTCACATTCCATCCAGCCAGAAGGCTCTTCCCCGGGAGCGGGGTCTCCTGACTGCTGTTATTCACAGACTCAAGAAAGAAAGAAGACAGAGGGAAAAAAGGGGAAGAAATAAAGCAGGGGAAATCTCCCTTTGCTATTTCGATTCTGTTTTAAAAGATGTTTTAATTTGTATAATCAGCTTGTGAACTTCCATCCTGTTCATCAGATGAATAGCTCATCTGCCGGTCAGAGCATTCCTGCCTTTCAATTTAATTATGTCTGTCTGTTTTTAAATTCTTGTCTGGACTCTCTTAGTCTTGCTTTTTACTGCTTGTATATTTATGTGTTTCCTGCAGCCTGACCGCTCTGGGTGCCTTCACTTAGTCAGTGCAGGGGATGGACAGCAAATTTTAATGTGATAGAGCAAGCTTCAAACACCTGAACTGGCAGGAAGTGTTAGATTTCTTCTAAAGTTTTGTTTTCAGAAAACAGACTGGTAATATTAGTAAAACCTTACATACATTCATTTCTTTAAGCTTGTAATTTCACTCCTGGTAGCCAAGGATAACTCCGAGTCTTAGGAAAACTTTTCCATACGTTCCAGTATTAACTTACAATAGCAGAAAATTGGAAGCATCCCAACTGTCCAGCAACACATACCCTTATGTTTTGTCACATCCACAAATAAAGTGATATTACAGAGATTTCATAATAAGCATTGTAAGTGTTATGTTATTCTGTGAAAAGTTGGTATAAAAACCTTATCTATGCTGGAGGATAAATTTTAAAGGGCAGAGATCTGTGCAGTAAGAAATCAAGACCTGGGCAAATTTAATGAGGTCATCTAAACACCTGCACTGAGGCCGCTTTCTCATAATTTAAACTGACATAAAAGACACAGAGCAGGGTCGATGCTTTAGCACATCCTAGTTAGATCTAGGATCTTGTGTTTAAGGAAAGGATTTGTTGTTGCTGCCGCCCTGGCTTCTCTCAGAAGTGGTCGGCTGCACATGGTCTTCGCAGGAGACCATGCACCTCCAGAGCCCCCGCAATTGGCGCTGTTTGTGCCAAGGGCAGTTGGTGCAAGAAGGAAATCCATGCTCAGAAAGGCTGCCCTCAATCCTCTCTTTATCTCAGGCGCCAACCTGGCAAATGTACACTAGTAATAAAATAATAATTTTTGGTATTTGGCAGCCTGTGTCTTAGAGATTGCTGGCAACCTGCTGTTTCTGTCAGATGTCACTAATGGACTGTTAATCAGAGTCCATTTGGCCCTAGAAGCACCCTGCCCCGCCCGTCCTGGCACATACAGGTGTTCAGTACAAGTCACCTCCCCTCCTCCTCCTCGTCCTTCTGGCTCAGTCCCCTCCACAGCACCCACCAGAAAGGATGGGGGCCTAAACCGCATGTATGAGCTCAGACTGCTGCCCTCCAGACCCCATTGCCCTGCCCATTTCCTTTCCCCTCTGCACTTAGCATCTGCTCACCTGCCGTGTGCTTAATTATTTACCATATTTGTCATTTATCCATCTCACTGACACTTGAGCCCCACGAGGCAGTTTTGCTCACTCATGTACCCCAAGCATGCTGGTCGGCGCCCACACCCCATAGATCAGGATGTTGAGTGAGTAAATGAACTTGGGTCGCATGTTGCCCTTCCAGGGTGCTCTGCTGTTAGGTCAGGCCCATCTGCATAAATGGACTCACCCTGTCCTGTGTTGCTCTGCAGTTCGAGATGCTCACGGGGTCCCTGCCGTTCCAGGGGAAGGACAGGAAGGAGACCATGGCCCTCATCCTCAAGTGAGTACAGAAGAGCCATGCCAAAGGCTTGTGGGCAGCATCTGATATCAAAAGCCTCCATCTTTAAGTCTGTGGGTGTGACGTGGGCAATAGCTGTGATGGGAATAAGGTGCTTGGTGTGTGGATTACAGCACGTCAGGTGAATGCCCAGCCACGCGTGGGATCAACTGGTCTGGTTAATCCCACTGAGTGGTTCTGGTGAACTGTTCTACCATAGATAAAGCTTCCCATCAGTCACCATCATCTAGAATGTCCAATGACTGGGTTTGCAGATGTGCTGACTGGCAGCCTCCCAGAAGGAAAGCACAGATTCAGAAGGGCACGAGGATCTAGGGGCCTTTTCTGAGAACACAGGAGCAGGGTCTCCTTTCCTGCTGCCCCTGTTGGCTCCATTTACGTAATTACCTAAGCCCTCCTGGCTGGCATTGGCAGCAGTTAGCATCACTGTGTCGTGTGACTGAGGACAAGTGATCTTCTGCTTAATTCTCATGAGGAATCATTTATCAAGCAGATGGGTTTGCTCTTAGAGCCACAGAAGGAAGTCTGACCCTAGAGCTTCCTTGCCATAGCACCCTAACTGCGAGCAGCCACCACCAAGCATGGCTGTCAGAGATGAGAAAGGGGAGGCGGGGGCCCCAAGTCAGTCCCTCCCTGCTAAGCAAGAACTCAGAAAGCTGTCCTCTGACCGTCCTCAGAAACTCTGCTTGCAGATGGACATGTAGCTTCCACAAAATCGAGGGACACCCAGCACGCTGCCAGTCAAGTCTCTGTAAATTACATTCTCATGTAAATGGAAGGAGCGGGGTGAGGGAGGGAAGCCCTCAGTGATCGCTTTTGTGCAGCCAGGTGTCGGCCTTTCACCTAATCAGAGTTTTCCTCTATCAAGTGACATTCACCTGCCCACGGCACCTGCAGCTGCAGCCCATTATTTTTGTAGTGATTGCCTCTGCTTGTTTGGATTCTGAGAGGACAGTATCTTCATATTTTCTAAAGCTAGAAGAATACCCCCCAGCAAGTCACTGGTGTGGACTTGTGCCGTAGAAGTGACAGAGGATTTCTGAAGACACAGCTCCAAGCTCTGTGCCTGGGCTTCTCAGTGTGGTCCAAGGACCCCCTGGGGCCCTGAGACCCTCCTGGGGCCTGCAGGGTCCTTCTTGCCTGGATTTTCTTCATAGTATTGCAACAGATGGACTCAGGACAGAGAAGAGCGTCCCGCAGTCCCCTGGAGCCCGGAAGAGATTGACTCACATGCAAAACAGCGCCATGGACAACCTTGTTCTTTTTTGGTTTCAGAAAACAGGGCCGGCCCGGTGGCGCACTGGAGAGTGCGCCACCTGGGAGCATGGTGGCGCTCCCGCTGAGGGTTCAGATCCCATGTGG